ATGACCACCTTGCTGGGGTCGTTTGACCCCAGTACTCTTCCCTGCCATGGCAGGGGGGCGGACTAGATGATCTGCTCAGGTGCCTTCCGACCCTAGAAACTATGAAACTTTCCTGCCATTTGCTTAGATGAATTAATGTGTACGCAACACACACAGCACATGGAGCAGTAGGTAGTGCAAGGTTCTATACAGCTTGCTACTAAAATGCTTGTGTTGATCTGAAGGAACTAGTCCCATCTAAGACTGATCGAGTAGTTGTCTCCCTTGTTGGACAGCAGTGACTGGGACAGTGGAAGATTATGGGTGCAAAGCAGCTATTTCAGAACTCTGCAACTAAATTCAGAACTAGTGTAAGCAATTTCTCTTGTGCTACACCAGAATTTGGCTTCCAGCACCAGTGTCTTCTTTGCAAAAGAGCCCAGTTGTGCTCCAAATGTGATTGTACTGAAGGTTAATAAAGGACATATATATGAGACTCGGGCATCCTCTGTCATCTGCTTTTACATCCCCCTTCCTGTGTCCCCTTACTTCCCTTCTCTCCCTTTTCCTTTAAATCCCGTTCCTGCATCTTTTTCATACTTTGTTCCTTCCTTCCAGCAAACAAAGAATGCATAATTATTTTTTTATGGAAATTGTTTAAATGCCCTCTGAATTTTTTGCTGTACATGGGTAACATTTCACAAATTAAAAGAAGTACCCCCTCTGACGGGGGCAGATTAGCAGATTACAGTCTAAATTTTGTTATCAGATTCTTGCCCAAGGTTTGATTTGAACTGACAGTGGCTGGGACTAGGTCTGGTCTGTTTCCCTTTGAGTGACCCGGTTCTTGAGAATGCTGACTGACTTGAAACCCTCTCAGCCATTTTCCCAAGCTAAATTCTCTCTTTCAAATTGTATTTTCCATTTTACTTTCCCAAATGGGTGCAGTGAACCAGCTGAATTAAATGTGAAGTAACTGAGACCTAAAAACATAAAAAATGGCAGCTCTTATGTTGGGTCAGACCATAGTTTCATCTTGCCCAGCATCCTGTCACACAGTGGCACAGTAGATGCTGAAAGGGACAGTGAACTGGCTATGACCAGGGTTTTTTCCACTGTTCTTCTCACTTGCAGCCTCCAGCATTTAATTTGGATTGTGATCAGAGCCATGGTTTGGTCACTCTTTATTCCTAACAAAAGTTGGTAATATTTGCTGAACTTTATTATTCTGTTTTTAGATAAGGGGGGTGGGGGGAAGAGATACTACCTTTGCTCGAATGATCCAAAATGTAGATTCCTCTCTGTATCTGTCCCTCTGCTCCTGAGAGGCTGCACCTGCAGAAATGGTAACATTTTTAGAGTAGCAAGTTCTCAGCTTGCTGTAATGGGGTTGGCCTTCCCCTATAATATAATGGTTGATAAGCCCACAAATGATTTATAAATGCACTTTATATACAGGATTACTGGGATTAGATTCAGTCAAGCTCTGATTTTAAAGACTACTAAAACCAAGTGTGTTCCTCATTTCTGAAGCTTTTTGTTCTTTCAGCTTGTGTTAGGCTGGGCAGTTATTGTAGAAATGTTTTTCCGCAGCCTGCCTGGAGTACTCATTTACACCTGTGCCATTTGGGCTTGAAATATTTTTATTCTGGTTGATTTGCATGGTAAATTGATTTTTCATAAAGGCAAATGGCAATGGTAAGTGCATACCAGTGGAAGAGCAGGTCACATCTATTTAATTACTTCTCATTTTAAGTGAGAGATGTGCATTTTTGCAGTTGTAATTATAGAAATGTATATATCTCTAATTTGGCTGATTCTGTTCCAGTGGTATTTATGGGCAGTTTGAAGTATCCAGATGAGAATGGCTTTGATGCATTTCTGAAAAAACATGGGGGCAGTGACAATGCTTCCACTGACTGTGAAAGGACTGTCTTTCAATTTGATGTACAGAGGAAATACTTCAAAGAAGCTCTTGACAGGTAACTTAATCACACCTAATAATAACTACATAGTTTGGTTTAAAATAGATTAATGGATGTCTTTGTCTGCCAGAGAAGACTATGTATAATTTGTCATTGCCTCATCTGGACCTGATTGAAATGATCCTTCTGTTGCTTAGATTCATAGATTCATAGATTAAGGGTCGGAAGGGACCTAGTAGATCTTCTAGCCCGACCCCCCGCCAGGGCGGGAGAACAACAAAAAACCCCAAAAAGAGAAATGGGACTCAAACGAGTCCAGCCAGGTAGGCATCCAGCCTCTTCTTAAAGACCCCCAGGGTAGGGGCCAGCACCACTTCCCTTGCTGCGCTTCTTTAAATCCTTTTCCTGCAACAGGGGATCCTTAGGGTGCAAGGAGTCCATGACTTGGCTTTGAATATTTTGAAACCTTTTGAGGTAGCGTCTGTTTCCCACAATACCGTAGGTATTTTTAACGTATGTACCTCCTGTGAGAAGAGGGTAGACCTCACTTCTTTTAATCTAGACAATTTCAATTCTGTAGTTCTTTATGTTTGATTCTTTCCTTTTGTTAACTATGGAAAGAAGAAGCTTACTTAGAATTGTTCAGTGACTTGTATTTTTTAAATATGTTCCTGTATAAACTTACTTTTTTTTTTTTTATCCCATGGGAGGTGGAGAAAGGCTGGACTCTTATGCTGTCACGTAGAACATCAAAAAGTGGAGTTAACGTGCTCCAGTTTATTCAATAAATGATGTATTCTGTGACAAGAAATATCATTCAAATTGCTGATTGAATGACATGGGATGTGTGAAAACGTTGCTTTCCTGCACAAGGGGAAAAGTCCCTGGAAAGAAGTGAAAGTGAAATAGTTCTGATACCCAGAAGCCTCCTAGGAGTACCCTGCAAATAAGCATTTTTCTCAAAGCCACTAAAATGGTGCTTAAGCTGAATTCTGCCCTAGAACGTGCACCCCTTAGGATTGCTGGTTTCATAGAGCGTAAAGCACAAGAGTTAGCTTTCTAAGGATGGACATCAGCCCAGCTTCTGGATGTTTTGAAGGGACGTAAAGAGAAGCAACTCAAATATTAAGAATTTTCACATGAGGAGAGATTGAAAAGAACAAGCTACTTAAGTGGAGAGGTAGGAAGAACCCAATAGAATGATGAAATGTATAGCGAGAGTAGACAGGTGCTCCTGCTAGCTTTTGATATACAGATTCATAAATGCTAGCGTCGGAAGGGACCTCAACAGATCATTAAGTCTGACCCGCTGCCCTAGGCAGGAAAGAGTGCTGGGTCAGATGATCCCAGCCAGATGCCTATCCAGCTTTCTTTTAAAGATCCCCAAGGGAGGGGAGAACACCACCTCCCTTGGAAGCCCATTCCAAACTCTAGCCGCCCTCAACGTGAAGAAGTTCTTCCTAATGTCCAGCCTAAATCTGCTTTCTGTCAGTTTGTGACTGTTGTTCCTTGTTACCCCAAGAGGTGCCTTGGTGAACAGAGTATCTCTGATCCCTTGCTGCCCCCCCTCAATGAACTTGTAGGCAGCCACAAGATCATCTCCTCAGCTTTCTCTTGCGAGGACTGAAGAGCTTCAGGTCCCTCAGTCTGTCTTTACAGCACTTGGCCTGCAAACCCTTAACTGTATGAGTGGCCCTCCTCTGGACCCTCTCAAGGTTATCCACATCCTTCTTAAAGTATAGTGCCCAAAACTGGACACAGTACTTCACCTGTGGTCTGACCAGTGCTGCATAGAGGGGAAAGGGTATGTGTTAAAGGTAATTTTTAAAAATCCAGTACTCATCCATATGTTGTTACCTTGCCTACCCATTATCCATCTCTCTGTGTAAGGGAGCACAGATTTGTTGGCTAGCAATATTCATAGATACAGGTAATAAAATGTTAATGGATGTAAACGCTTATGTTTTTAGGGCATGTTTTAACAGTTTGTTACCTGGTGTTAGGAGTAAACTTTCCCTATGCTCATTTTGTTTCCTCCGTATGAAGAGTTAAGGATTCTTGCTTTTTTTGAAGCATCCAGCTACTGTTGGAGATAGGCACCAGACTAGATAGATCCCTTGTTTGGTCTTGTAGAATCATTCTTGGGATATTAAGGCAGGTTAAAAAAAATCCTGCATCTTGGGGCTGCCCCCTGTCAATCCACTTCAAAGAGCAGGAGGCATTGCCTTTGTTGCCGAGAATATGAAAGAATATGCATTATTTTCCTATAAAGGCTTGAAGAACTAGTAATGATAAAGTCGAGGATTATTAATTTTCTTCCTGAATCATTGCAAAAATCTGATCTTGGGCATTGGTATTGTTTGTCACCTATGTGCTTTTCTATGGTTTGTTTCTATATGTTTTGTTATAGAAAATAGCCTGCTAATATATAAAGAGGGGAAAAATGAAACTTCCCATATTTCTTTTTTAGGTGGGCACAGTTCTTCATTCACCCATTAATGATCAGAGATGCAATTGACCGGGAAGTTGAGGCTGTGGACAGTGGTAAGGATAATTGTGTTTTAATTGCATGTGCTTTCATCGTAATTCTTCAAAATAAATGTTTGGAGCTGGGCGTAACAAAATTGTCAAACTCCTTGCTATAAGTGCTGAGTTTAGGTAGATGCTGTTTTCCCTAAACATAGCTAATTAATTTCATTTGTGATTTTTCCACATGATTGTAATGAAGTCCAAACTGTTATCTAATAGGACACAGTTGTTTGAGTTTCTATCAATATGGCAGTAAGCCTAGTCCAGAAAAACACTTCTGAAGTGTCTTGCTAATTCAGTGGACCAAGGCAAACCTGTTATATAGAGTGAAATAGAGCCTTAACAATGTTCCTTAAAGAAGCAAAAATGTCTGATGCCTTCACTTGATACTGAGGTGTAGAATGAAAGTCTGAAAGGGGGGTGCACTTGTAAAGGCACGTTAAGAAAGAGCAACCTTTAAATTTGAATCTACTACTGAACCCCAAGCTTTTTCATCTTTTTCACTGAAAAGAAAGGTGAAGTGGGGCAGTTTGAACTTCCAAAGCACTGCTTTTTTCCAGTGTTTCTTGGGGGTTTTGAGTTTAAAAAAAGTTAATAAAGAGACAATTCAAGAATTTCTTCTGTTTGGCATTTATAACCCTACTGGAGCTCCAGGGTAGCTGAGAGAGAAACTTTTATACACTGCAAGAAATAAGTTATATTTAACACAATCTGTAGTAATTTTTTCTTAGTGTCCTGATTTATGAAAGATGGTGAAGGCCCTTTAGTGCCCTCATCCCCCATGAAGCTTAGTGGCAATGAAGATATCACAGAATTGGGTACTAAATGCTGCTTCCCCTCTCTCCCCTTTATCTTCTCTTCTGTTTTTCTTGATAACCAAATGGGTCTGTCTTTTCTTTATTTTGAGCTTTAGTGACCAGTGATATGGTTTTACTATTTGCTGCTTTTTCACGCTTCTTTTAAAAGAGCCTGTCCAGAGCTGTTCCATGTACTTTGCGTCTCCTCTTGAATGCTGCTGTTTGTATCATTAGAATATTACCTCGCATCCTGATGTTTAATACAGTGTTTTATTATTTAAATGAACAGAGTATCAGCTAGCAAGGCCCTCTGATTCAAACAGAAAAGAGATGTTATTTGGAAGCCTTGCCAGACCTGGGCATCCTATGAAGAAATTCTTTTGGGGTAAGCACTTGCTAAAAGTTAAATATATGTGATACAGGAAAAGGTCGTAAAATGTCTTAATGATGGCAGCTTGTGGTATTGCCCCAAATTCTGGCTGAAATTAGTTAAATTAGCTCTGAGCTCTTTGTGCTACTATTTTGAGTACACTTTGGGACAAGAAGTGCTGCATCTACTTAAGATGCTGTCCACTCTAGCTCAGCTCCCATTTCATGTTAAAAATCAAATTGCTCAGATTTGTGGTAACTTATGATTGTTCTTGAAGCACCTGTGTTTCATTTACTTGTTGTTTTTCTTTTTATTCAGAGTCCTTGAAAAATGAAGTTTGCATTTTGGACATGCAAAAAATGTATTTGTGGATGGTTTCTAGGAGAGTTTTTAAAAGCCATGTGATCTTCCTTGCATCTGTAGAGGCAGCTCAGGAATGGCTTCACTGTCATTCCACACTCTTGTGAGTGGGATGGGCGGAGGAAAAATTCATTCCCCTCCCAGATGGTCCAGTTCCTTTTAGAGTCTGTTTGCAGGAAGCCCCTTTTGTGCTGCTCTGCATAAGTTATAAGGCAGGGCAGGTTGTAGATCAGGTCATCTTAGAACTGTAGGTTTTATTATTGTTTTCCAAGTGCTTTTCTCTTCCCTATTATGAAAGTCATTGTGAGCAGGAGAAACAAAACTGGTTCTATGCAAAGCATTCTCCAGTACACGGTGTAGATGTGGTGAAAAATGCCAAAACTGCTTTTTCTTCAGACCTTTCATAAAGCTCTCAAGTGTTGTATAAACAGTAAGAAAGTAGAAAGAAGCATCATTTCAGAGTCTGTGTTCCCTTAACCCTAAATTTCCCAAAGGGTTTGATATGCTAAAATTTCTTGGGTATGGACAAGCCTGTATTTATAGTGGTTTCAGAAGGGCAGGGAATGCTGCGGAGAATGTTAGGCTGTTACTGTTACCTTTTCTTGAGCCTAAGCAAAACTGTCCCAGCTGTGATCCTGGACAAGGCAGGTTTAGAGGGAGTGGTTTTGCTACACTTGAACCACTACAGGCTCATGCACAGATACTAATTACTGCATAACCATTGCTGTGTAGTCTTGAGCAGCAGCTCCCACCTCTCCTTTTGAAGCCACTACGAAGTAGATTTGTTCATACCCCTTGTTTGTACGTTCTTAACACTTCTTCTATTTCCATGGCATTAAAACACTCAACCTGATCTGCATCTCTTGTATATGTAGAACTCTTATTAGCTTAACTGGGAGTTTCGGTGCACAAGGAATCTTACGTTGGGCCCTATGTTAAAAAAAACTAGGTGTATGAGGCTCTGGAATAAGCAAATCCAGATTCCTAACTATTTTTTTTAATGTTTACAGGTAATGCAGAAACTCTCAAACATGAGCCCAAAATGAATAATATTGATACCTATACCAGGCTGAGGGAGTTCTGGCAGCGCTATTACTCTGCTCACTACATGACTTTGGTTGTCCAGTCCAAAGGTAACATCAGTTGTGAAAATATCAGGTGTGGAAATATTAATGCTCTCAGGGATGAAAATTTTGAAACTTGGTCTGATTGTTTCACCTCTCCTTAGGGCCTGTATGTTTCCTGATTTCCCCCCCCGTGAAATATTAATATGGAGGCTCTACTTCTGTATGGATGCTAGGGGTTCTGTGGTTTGTGGGTTTTTATTTGTGACTAGGGACAGAAATTACACACAAACCATTATACATGATCAGAAACTGGTTCAAATCTGTAACACAACAGAAATTCAGTGCGCACAAACTGTTTTCAAAAGGACCAGAACCAGTTTAAAATAAACATGGATGGATGTAGTATTGGACTCAGCTGATTTAGGTTAACTTGTCCCAGATCCCATCCAGATTCAAGTTAACTCTCAGTCCCTCCAGCATCCTGGGATGCGTTGCACCTCCCCTGCAAACCCTACCTCGCAGGGTGGGTGGGTTAGCCTTGGCCCAAGCTTTGTGCTCCAGCAGATCAGGGAGGTGTGCTCTAGCATCCCCTGGTTTTTGTCCTGGACCACTGCAGGCATGTGGTTACATTTCCGGAATCAAAAGTGAATGTCTGTTCACTTCCTTACTGGTTCAATCTACGTAGCTTAGATCAACCTGCAAAGATTTAATGGATTTAGCCTTGGGATTTTTGATTGGCTTATACTTAGCATGTAAGAATGTTGGAAAATGACAGTGTTTCACTGGTGAAATGACCCTGTACTGCTGATTTCTTGTGGGATGAGGCATTATAAAATGGCTTCCTGATTGATCTTTCTTTAGCATCAGTTCAGCCAGAGCACTTAAAGCATTGGAGGGGAAGACCGGTTGCTAGCCAAGCTTCCTCCAATCCATTATTTTTGTGAGCTGTTAACTTTTAATAGTATGTTCCTTTTTCTATAAGGAAGAAAGAGGAAATAATGCTCCTCGCTTAATACACAGTATATGTTACCCAAGGCATAACTACGTTGGCTTGCATCACACATTTCTGTGTAAGTATAGTGCTTAGGATTGTCTAATGCATCCTATGGATTTTGCAGATTCCAAAGCTGTTGATATTTATCATTTATGTGTAGCCCAGATACCATTACTTTTAATCTCAGTCCTATCTGGCCTGAGATTATAGGAAGCATATGAAGATCAAGACCTGATCCATAGTTAGGTTTATATTTCTTCTTCCCTTACAGAAACTCTAGATACTTTGGAAAAATGGGTGACAGAAATATTCTCGGAGATCCCAAATAAGTAAGATTTTCTGATTACCTGATTAGAAGTTTGGCTGGGTTGATCTAGTTGGGGATGGTCCTGCCTTGAGCAGGGGGTTGGACTACATGACCTGCTGTGGTCCCTTCCAACCTTAATTTTCTATAATTCTGTGAAGTTGTAAAATGACACTGCAGACTTATAAAATTCCATTTATGCAGCATTCAGAACTGTTGACTTCCTTGAACATATTGCTGTCTGTGTTGATGACATTTTCTTCCCTGGCTGAGGATAATGTTTGACTTTGAAGGTTAAAGGCTGGCATTAAATGAAATACAAACTTTCTAATCTCATTGCCTAGGAAGAATTTAGCCTTTAAGCTGCTGTGAAGTGTCAGCCTTAATTGGCATTTGCTGCACCTTGTTGCTTGATGTAATTGGATGAAGAATTATAATCTGTATTAGAATGATTCTAAACCTTGTATACTTAATGTGAGGAATCATTAGCAAAATGCAGGTGTGGCAGTGGTGTGTGTTAGGTAGACGATGTCGTTATCCAGTGACTGTGCGTTTTCAGACTGAGGCATCCCAGAGTCACTACATTATGCTTGCTGGCTAAAATTGACATTGTCCAAAATTTGTTACCTTTTAATATGACTGAACTCATCAAGAGTGGCCCTTTAAAAAGCAGATTTTAAACCGAATTGACCTGTTGTGGCTGAAGATTTTCTTGAGAACCCCATCTCTCCTTTAAATGTTTTGTTGAGTTTTATAGATTGCTGACTAACTGATTTATGCTGTGTTTTTAAAAAAAAATTGTCAGTAGTAATAGGTTAAGGACTGATCACATCAGTTATAGGATGTGATGTTGACTTGTCTATTGGAGGGACAGGGGCAGTAGAATGAAGATACTCTCTTTGCTTGCTGGGTATTGAAGGGGCAGTGGAGGAGGAGGGATTAAGTAATGTAGCAATGGTTTATATGAGTTCTTGCTGCTTACACTTAACATAGCTTATAGATAACTACTTAATTGTGAGTTTCCCCTTTTCTCAGTGTGTTCTTACTTATATTTGGGCTCAAGTGTCTAACTTTGCTAGAAGTAAAAGGCTACAAAGGGACATTCATGCCCCTTGTCACACCACAAGTGCCCAAAATTGTGGCCTGAACAGTAGGTGGTAAACATCTGTGCTGTTTTTTTGTGGCGGACATCTGTTTGCCTTAAGGCTAGAGCTATCTGTGCTGTCCTGTTGCCCCCGGCAGGGGTTCCCTGCAGGGGAATTTTTGGGGTGCACAGGATTGGGTCCGTGCAGCCATGGTAGCCTGTAGAGGCACACCCCAGGACTCCCTCAGCATAGGATTCCCTGAGCGTATATATTGAGTTGCTACACCCTGACTCGGTGTCCACCTATGCAGATGGAGGAGAGGTATCCATTTGCAGAGGAGCACCCTGAATTGGGGCTCAGAAGCACAATATGGGCACCTGCTGAATCCCTTACTGGGAGATTCCTGGGGCACACCCCTGCAAATGAGGGAAGCTAGGGTTTCCCCTTTCGTAGTTGTCCCACAGGGTTGAGTTCCTGAAGAGCCAGAAGTGGCAGGGGTCTGACCCTGCAGGACAGCAGGCAATGTCTGTGTTGTCCAGCGAAGCAGATCAGCTGTGCTGGGACAGATCCCAGCACAGCTGATCGCACCCATCAAGGACAGTGCCGGTATACAGCCGAAGTTGGTAACAGACAAGGAAACTTCTGTGTGAAGTTGCGCTGTCTGCATGCTGTCAGAATGCAGGTAGTAATGGGGATTTAGTGCAGGGGCAAAGTGCAGACTGTAGGCTGGATCCAGCTGGCAGTGGACTCCATTTCCCAGCAGCCTGTGCCCACATAGCTGGGGCTGGTCTCCATGGAGGCTGCAGCTGCCCTGTCATAGTGCAAGGCTGGGGTTGCCATGGAGACTGGCCCCAGCTGTTGTGGCGTGGCAGGGCAGGGCAGGGCAGGGGGCTGCTCTGGAGCCCTGGAATATGGCAGGGGCATCTCAGTCCGTCCGGCGCCAAGGCAGAGCCACAATCTTCAGCCTGCATGCTTCGGGCAGGGGCACGCAGGCAGCAGATGGCAGCTCTGCCCTGGCTCCTTGCAGCGGTGCCAGCCTGGTCTGGAGCAGGGGCAGAACCTGTGCACTCCTGCCCCGAGCATGCAGGCTTCAGATCATAGCTCTGCCTTGGCCCCAGACCAAGCTGCCCCCACCGCAAGATCCTGGAGCATCCCCCTGCCATGCATGCCCTGACAGCGTGGCTGGGGCTGGTCTCCATGGCAACCCCAGTCTTGTGCTATCACTGTGCAGCTGCCAGCTGGGGTCTCCATGGAGACCGGCCCCAGCCATGCGATCAGGGGCTGCTGGAAAATGGAGTCCAGCTGCCAGCCAGATGCACCATTTTGCCCACCCCGATTTAGTGACAGCACAGAACGTCAGAATCACCAGACCCTAAAATGCAGATATTGCTGGCCTCAGTACTACTGAAGTGCAAAGATTACTTCTGCACTTGGCCCTCCTCGTGGCATCACAGTGGCTTCCACTCAAATATCAAATTGTATATTTTTGAAGATCAGTATAACGTGCTTCATTTCACCCTTGATAAAGCAACCCACTTTTGGTAAATTCTGCAGCTTGGCATGCATCACACGGTTCCAAGTCCAGCACAGTTATTTCACTATTTCTGTGGGTAGAAATCAGCCAGACTGTTTAGTTGTTACCTTTCTGTGAAAGCAGGACCAGGGCAAGGTTATCAAGCTCTTTGGCCTCAGCTCCAGCAGCAAGACTGTGACTCTAGTGGACTCCATTTCTCAGCAGTCCCTGCCCACATAGCTGGGGCCTGCCTTAGTCTCTGGTGCTGTGCTAGTTTTTGCGATGTTTGGTGCTGTGGATAAAATGAGGAGTAGATGATGCCCTAATAACTTAGGGAATAGGAAAAGAGATTTGGGGGTAGTTGGGGACTAGTGAGAGCTGCGGTGGCATTTGGAATATGCCTCTGGTAAGAGTCGCATCCTGTTGTGTGAAGCTTTAAGGTTTCCATCACTTAACAATGATGGGGGCTTGTTCTTGTCCTCCTGGATTGTGAGTGGTAATTGTGCTGTGATTTTTATGTTTTACTAGTGGTTTTTCCAAACCAAACTTTGGCCATCTGGCGCAACCATTTGACACACCAGAATTTCACAAACTTTACAGAGGTGAGTGAACTATGTTCCTCTTTTTAAGTATTGAATATACCACAGTGCAAAATTTTTGTTGCTTTGAAATTTTAAGAAGATTGACTTATCATTGTTGAGCTTCTACAATAAGTTGTTTTGTATAACTTCCGCAGTGTTGTGTTTTTCATTTAATAAATCTCTTGCCCATTGCAGGTTACTGCTCCTACCTCTCTCTAACACTTTTGCATTTACAGTTAGTACTTTTTTTTTCCTGTACAGTTGTTCCGATCAGAAAAATTCATTCACTGAGCATCACCTGGGCACTTCCCCCTCAGGAACAGCATTACAGGTAAAGTGATGTCACATCTTATTAATGGCACAGTTGGGGCTTTAGTGAACGTCTGTAAATCTTGCTAATAGCTTGGGCTCTTTCAAAATGATTTACATTACAGTTCAGACTATTTTAACTAAAAGTGTGTATATAGCAAGGTGATGCAAACCTCTCTGTAAATGAGGTTACATTTGTTATATCTGTTTTATATTGATTTAACTGAGAAGCTGAGGAAGAATCAATGCAAAGGTTGTTAATGTCTGTCTGTGTTTTGGTTGGCTCACTGCATTCTGTAAACCTAAATTCCCTTGTATAGTTGGTTAGATTTAATCTTTTTGGTGTTGCTGTTTAAAGGTAACATAGGTAAAGATGGAATATAATTAAGTTTATTTGTCTAGTGATTTGGGATTTCTGTATGAAAGATGTTTTACCTCTTGGCATTTTAACTTTATTTTTTTCTTTATAGGGTGAAGCCACTTCATTACATTTCATGGCTGGTAGGACATGAAGGCAAAGGCAGTGTTCTTTCCTTTCTTAGGAAAAAGTACGTATTTTTCTTCAAAAATACTCTAAACATTGCTTCTGTTGTAAAGAAGCGATAGGCAAATATTTCTCTGATCTAGTAAGGTTTAGTGACAAAGCTCTACGGTGATGCCGCTTAAAGTTTGTAGGAGCCAAGATACTGAAGATGCTCTCGGAGCTTAACTTTTTTTCTCCAGAGTGCCAGATACAAACAGTCCAAGCACAGGAGTATCTCCAGAATTGAAAACCAGCACTGTGTGTCCTATAGCTGAAAACTTGAAGGCTTCACAAACCATTCTTGTCAGAGGGAATTCATCTGGCAAAGTTAATTCTTAAACATTCACTGCAATATTTTTTAATATCTCAAATGTTTGAGAATAGGTACTGCATACTTAAATTGCAACTTGTATTTTAAACAATTAAAAATCAGGTTCTTCTCTTATCTGCAATGGCCTGAATTTAGAGCAGTTCCCTGCCCTGCAATGTTTTCAGATACTGTGCAAAAAAAAAAAAGGCAGAAGCACATAATCAGTACCAGCAGGTGACTGGCGGTTATTGTTTCAGCATCATTGATCATATTTTTGGTTCATACCAAATACTTATCATGAAGTTGAGTTACCCTGCTTGAATGTCCTGTCTGTTTCTTATTTTGAATTTCAGAGAGCTTAAACCTGTGCTTTATGAATTGGTGAAAAGACAGCTGCTTACAGGTTGTTTCAGGTTCACTTTGAAAGGGCTTGCGGTTAAGCTGGTCAGAAATAAGCTAGAGCAATGATACAGTCTTCTGCTCAAACTTCAGAAAAGTTTTTATCCGAAATGTTGAATAGTTGGTTTAACTCTACAATAGGTTTTGGGCTCTTGCATTGTATGGAGGAAATGGTGAGACAGGATTTGAACAGAATTCCACCTACTCTGTATTCAGCATTTCTGTTACTTTGACTGATGAAGGCTACAAGCACTTTTATGAGGTAAGTTTCACTGCAGCTTGGATTTCGTATCAGTTTATTTCCAAGTATCAAAGTAGTTCATCAGTTTGTCTTTCTGCCCTCAGGTTGCACATGTTGTGTTTCAGTACCTGAAGATGTTACAGAAAAGAGGGCCAGATAAGAGGTATGTGGATGAGACCCAGTGGTTTGCATTGTTACACTAGAAATTTCTGAGCTTTCCCCTGTTTGCTAGAGGTGTGTGTTATCTCCTCTCTAGTATGTACATATCTGAAAAGTGAACGCAGTGTGACACTGTTGGAAAATATCATTGTTAAAAGGAAAGGGAGGAGTTGTAGGTCACCATAAAAAGGCAGTGTGGTGAACAGCAGTGGAATGTCACCAGGTCTTGCCAGCCCTGCTGTAGCAAAATTGAAAGGATGAATAGTCAGGGAACAGCACTTTTAGCTGAGATTATACCAGTGAGTGACTGCAGTGTAATCCTTGTTGATGTGGAAATTTGCCCTGGTTTAACTTCAGTTGTTGTTTAAACTTGTGCAGTTAAAATGTGCTAACCCCTGTTTATATGGACTTTTTAGTTTTGGTTCGATGTAAAGCTGTTCCTAATAGACTTAAACCCATTTAATGTGAAATAACAGCCTTTTGCACTGGTTTAACGAAATTGACATATACCAATACTCATCAATCTGCACGTAGCTGTGTCCGCAGTGACAGATGGAAAATAGAAAATTCTCTGCTTTAAGAGTTGCTGAAGAGTTCTCTCCATCCCAACACCTGAGCCTTAAGCATTTTGCAATGAGGTGCATGGTGATCAAGGCAGGTGACAAGAAGCTAGGAATTCTGTGTGTGCTACTCTTAGCTTTTTAACTGGTTTTGCTGTCTAATCTTGTCTGTTCTGTGCTTTAGTATCTCCATCTCTGTATGAAAAGAGATAAGAACTTGCAGCAGTAATGATAACTGACTGACAGTATTAAAATGCTTTCAGATTTCCAGTTAAAAAAGGATTTATATTTGTACTTCTACTCCACTTTCACCAGAATTCCAGATCTTATAGATGTATAATTATTGTGAGAAACTGACTAAATGAATTTCCATTTTGTGATGTCTTGCCTAGACATGGTGTTTCTTGATCACTTGTTAAAGGTATCAAAGTGATGGGGAAAAACTCTTCTTTTACAGAATTTGGGAAGAGATACAGAAGATTGAAGCTAACGAATTTCATTATCAAGAACAGGTATATGTCTATAAAGTAACTGATGACGGTAAAGTCTTAAATTTTTAGATTGCTGCTGGAGTTTTTGCTATATTAACTTAGCTTAGGAATTTACATGGATAACATGCGACTTTGAAAACATAGATGAGATGAGGTAAAATAAGAATGTTAAGCTGAAAAATTAACATCACAGATAGGATAATATTAGACTTGTGAACATATCCTTTAACAAAAGCAAAATATTGTGTCCCTTGCCTCCCTGTTTAGAGTGTTTAGTTCTTTCATGCAGAAACCTTGTCTTATTTTTCTGTAAAGGTTTTGTCCATTCACTGTGGGGTATAAATAAAGAAGAGTGTTTCTTCAGGCGTACATGTATTATGTCACCTGTAGAGCAGAACTTTCTTTGCACTGCTGTGCTTTGGAGAGTTTGCAGAAGAGTAATCTTGAGAGTTAGGGATGACCTTGTTCAACAAGAGATGAAATATTAATAAAACTCTTGTTCGCGATTACAAGGTTGCACAGTTAAACCTTTGAACTTCATTGAGTTGCTGATTGGGTTACTTCATTGTAACTGCAACCACTGAATTGTTTTCCTTTTTCTATGCGGTGCTTGTGTCATTGGGAAAGCTTTGGCTTCCATGACCACAGCCCGCTCTTTGGCGAGAGAGGCAGCGAGCTGCTGGGAAGAGATGGCCTCTGCCTCTCTCCCCTGGGGAGGAGGCTTTTCTCAGCCAGACTGGCTGACCTGCTCCACCGGGCTTTAAACTAAGCCCGTTGGGGGACAGGGGGACTACCACCACTGCTGGCCTGCTGAGCAACACTTGCAAAGCCAGCAGGCCAAGGCACTTAAGGGAGCCCTCCCCTGCCCCAGCCCTGGTACAATCTGTGGGCAAGGCAAGAGCCCCCAAGGGGACACTTGCCTGCCTGTACACAAATGCCAGGAGCTTGGGG